CCGCCGCCGAGCGGAGGGAGCTAGAAGCAATATACATAACCGATTCTGAGGATGGTGCAGATCCTACAAATTAATCTGCACCACTCCAAGGCAGCCTCGGCTGCGCTCCTTCTTCGGCTCAGCGATAAAGCTGAGGACTTGATTCTAGACCAAGAACCTTGGATCGTCAGAAACAAGGTTTGCGGACTGAACTCTGATGCCTACCAGGTGGTAACAGCTCCAGTAATAGGTAGGATTAGAGCTTGCATTCTAATTAAAAAAGTATATTCTAATTTTTTACTCTCCCAATACAGCGACGGGGACACTATCTGCATCAGCGTACAGCTGAAGGAGAGCGTTATCTGGCTGGCATCAACCTACATGGCCCACGACAGCCATGCTTTTCCACCCTATAGACTGGAAGAAGCGGTGAAGGAAGCAAATCGCAGAAAGCTCCCGGTCATAATAGGGGCTGACTCTAATTCACATAACACCACTCCCGGGGTGAGTGTTTACTAGACTTTATTCTTTTACACAATCTTACTGTATTTAACCGTGGGAACGATCCCACCTTTGTGACCTCTGTTAGACATCACCCTTGTGTCAATGCTGGACATCACCCTTGTGTCGCGCGGTTTGTCCGATCGGATAAGGTACTGGCAGGTGTCCAAGGAACACTCTTTTTCTGACCACCTCTACATTAGTTTCAATCTTAATTTTGATCCTGCTCCTTTAACAGCATACAGGAACAGAAAGCGAACCGACTTGGCAAAGTATAGGAATACGTTGTCGGCCTCTCTACGTAGATACGCTTCTCACGATAAGTCCTGCTTATCGTTAAGACCTGATGAAGCGAGTCTCTCGAATACAAAGGGTATTTCTCTCTGTGAGCTGGACTCATCGTCGAAAATTGATGAAGCAGTGAACTTTGTGACAAATGCCTGTAATGCTGCTTTCAATGCCTCCTGCCCAAGCACCCTCCCGAAGGCCAAAAAAAAACCCCAGTGTTGGAATCCTGAGATTTCAGCAGGAGGCTTTTCAATCATGCTAAGTTTTATGGTATATTAAAATAGAAATATTTAATTTTATTTTCAATAAACTTCTATGTATTTATTTTAAGAGATCAAAAAAAGGAATGAATGAATATAAAAATTTTCAACTCAAAATTGATCGTACATAAATAAATGTAATAAGATATTTTCATAATTCAAAGTATTTTAAGAACAAGTGTTTAACAAGTAATGTGTATCACTACACTACTCCCCTCTTCCAAAAACTTTCATATCTAACAAATTAAAAGTAACTCGCTTCGTCTTGCTGGATGAACTAAGTTTACTTCCATCTAGAAATGCAGGCTTAACTCTGTCTATAGAAATATTTACTAATTTATTGTGATAATTAATTTTGAACCACTTCGGTGTCTTTTCTATAACCTCGAACGGTCCTTCATATGGTTCCTGTAAACCAGTTCTTTTCCTATCAATTCTTACTAAAACAAATTTGCAATTATATAAATCTTTTGGAATATAAACAAGTGAATCTTTATGATGACATACTTTCGATTCATAATTTTTGAGATTTTGCTTTAATTTATTCAGTACATCTGATGAATCAAATTTTGTTTCAGACCGAACTACCATTTGCGAAGGAAGCCTTAAATTTTCGCCGTATAACATCTCCGCTGCTGTAGCGTGAATGTCTTCTTTGTAGGATGATCGCAAACCCAATAATACTATAGGTAACTCCTCATACCATCTGCTTGCGTTTCCACTAGCCATAATTGATGCCTTTAGTTGCCTGTGAAAACGTTTGACCATTCCGTTAGCTTGCGGATGGTAGGCAGTGGTTGTAATCTTATGACTTCTTAAAAGCTTTGTTAGTTCAGTAAAAATCTGAGAAGTAAACTGTGTGCCCTGATCTGTTGTAATTGTCAGTGGAACTCCAAAACGTGAAACAAATTCGTAGAAGAAAGTTTCTGCAACATTTTCCGCCGAAATATTTCGAAGTGGATATGCTTCTGGCCAACGGGAATTTCTATCGATAATAGTTAAAATAAATTTAAAATCGTGTGATAAGGGAAGAGGTCCAACGATATCCAAATGTATGTGCTCAAAACGTCCTTTTGGAATTGGTATTTTCGAAACTTGAGATTTTGTATGTCTATAAGTTTTACATTTTTGACAGTTAACACATTCTTTTGTCCACTGATTTATAGTTTTGTTCATCCCTGGCCAAAAATATCTACTTGTGATCAACCGACGTGTTGCTTTAACACCTACATGAGCTATATTATGTAATTTCTCAAAAACTAATTTTCGTAACATTTGCGGGACATATGGCCTTGTTGAACTAAGTGACGTTTCACACCAAATTTGAATATTTAAAGAGGGTATTGCTATTAACTTTAGTCTATGCCTACAATTTTTATCATATACTAATAATTTAATTTCTTCATCTTTGTTTTGTTCATCAAATAATCTTCTTAAGTTCAGGTCAGTAGCTTCTAATGCTGTAACTTCAGGAATCCTCGATAATGCGTCTGCAACACAATTTAAATCTCCTTTTATGTATTTAATATCACTAGTAAATTGAGATATGAATTCTAACTGTCTGGTTTGCCTTGAGCTTCTCTCAGCTTTTGAGTTCATAGCAAATGTAAGCGGCTTGTGATCTGTATATACTGCAAAAGACCTACCTTCTAACCAATGTCTGAAATGCTTAATAGTTAAATAAACAGCAAGTAATTCTCTATCAAAAGTACTATATTTACATTCAGACGGGCTTAGTTTCTTTGAAAAGAATGCAAGCGGTTCCTTAGAATGTTTAACTTCCTGTCGTAGAACACCCCCAATAGCTCTACTCGATGCATCTACAGCAATAGACAGAATTGCATTACTGTTGAAATGCGTTAACAGTGTTTTCCTAGCAAAACTCTCTTTAACTTGCTTAAATGCATATACTGATTCATCAGTCAATTGGAGCACTTTATCTTTGCTCTTCGATGCTTTTGTTATCATGCTATATATTGGGTCAAGCATTGCGGCAAGTTTTGGTATATACCTATGATAGAAGTTCACCATTCCTACAAACTTCTGCATTTGTTTGATAGTTATTGGTTGACCGAAATCAAGAATAGATCGGACTTTTTCCTCTGATGGTTGTATACCCTCGGATGATATGTTATACCCTAGGAAACTGATCTTTTCTGCTCCGAAAATGCATTTAGATGGCTTAATATTCAAACCGTACTTATCTAAACGCTGGAATAGCATATTTAAATGCTTTAAATGTTCTGCTTCGTCTTTGCTAGCTATCAATATATCGTCCAGATAAACAAAAGTAAAATCTAAATCGTGTAACACCTCATTTATGAATCTTTGAAATGTTTGTGCTGAATTTCGTAAGCCAAAAGGCATCCTGACGAATTCGAACATTCCAAATGGTGTGGTTATAGCGGTCTTATGGATATCTTCCTCTGCAACTGGTATCTGGTGGTACGCCCTAACTAAATCTATTTTTGAAAATATTTTCTTATTTTGAAATTCAATATGTAAATCGTGAATGTGTGGTAACGGATATCGGTCGGGTATCGTATCAAGTTAACTCTTCGGTAGTCGCCACAAGGACGCCAGTCAGTTGCGTCTTTTTTAGGTACCAGGTGCAGTGGCGATGCTCCGTGGGATTTAGATGGACGACATATCCCGGATTTCAGTAAAAAATCGAATTCAGCCTTTGCTATTTTGTATTTGATTGGATCTAAGCGTCTCGGGCTACAGAATGGTAATACTCCATTTGTTATGATATGATGAACTGTCGAATGCTCAACTTTTTTGTTATAATCTGGTTCAGAAATTAATGAAGGAAAATTCTTTATAAGCTTTGTATATTGGTTTTCAACCGAAAATATTTTTGACAAAGAGATATTACAAAACGCAGATATTGCGTCGACAGACAAGTTAGTTAAGGGATCTATTAACCTCTTATTTTTTATATCTGTTAAGAGTCCATACTTCCCTAAAAAATCTGCCCCTATGATGGGTTTAGAAATGTCAGCAATAAGAAATACAAACGGAAATTCCCGACGAAGTCCCAAATTAACATTTAATAATTTCTTTCCATAGGTCGAAATCATACTGCCATTTGCAGCAGTTAAAATAATGTCGGAAGATCGTTTGTGAATTTTGAATTTGGAGGAAGGAAGAACTGAAATTTCGGCACCACTGGCTATTAAAAATTTAAGCTTACT